GTTTCTCCTGCGTTGTGTGATGAGCCGTGCAGTCTTTCTGCAGAGGGGCATGCTTGTCTTGTGCCTTTGCCTCTGTGTTGCACTGCGTTGCCTCTGGGCTTACCTGTACTTGGCGTCTTCCTGTTGTCGCTATCTCCTTGGCCTCCAGTTGTAGTCCCGCCCGTGACTGTAGAGCCTTCTGTTTTTGAGTTGTCTCAGCTTCGGCCTTCATGCACAGGGCCATTTTTGCCTCTGCTTGACGCTTGTGCTGGCCCTCCTCTGGCATTTGTCTCTGCAAGTGCTTAGCCTCCTTTGGTGCTTGTTTCTTCGGCCTTTCTGTCTCCTTCGTCCATGTACACAGAGCCACTAGCTCAGCGCTAGCCTTACCACGCTGGCCCTCAGTTCTCTGCAGCCACAGGCAAACCACGTGGGTCACCTTTTCTGTTGGGTTGTGTGGGCTTGGCTTGGATCTTTGCCTCTGAGCTCTGCCGCAAGTGTCACAGCTCTTCCTGGATACCGTGTTTCTACTGTTCTTTTTCTGTTATGCTGTCCCCTCTGGTACGTGCCATTGTAGTTTTTGTGCTTTTAATTCCATTTGTACCTTGATTTAGCCATGTGCCTCTGTCACCTGTTTCCGTGGCTCTGTTTGTTGTTTTTGTTTTTTTGTCTTTTTGAGACAGGGTCTCACTGTTTAGTTCAAGCAGGCCTTGAGCTCACTTTGTAGCCCAGGCTGGTCTTGAAGTTGTAACGTCCTCCTGCCTCACCCTCCCGAGTGCTGGGATTACAGGTGTGTGCCATTATGCCCGGCTAGTTGCTCTGTTTCTTTCATCTGCTGGCAAGACTGTGTTCTCACATTTGGCATGTTTTTGAGCCTCCTTGGCCTCCTTGGTCACTCGTTGAGTTGCCTGTGCCCCACCGTGTAGTTGTCCTGGCATGCTCATGTGTTTTCTCTTTCGTCTGTAGTTGCTCCTAGACTGCCTCTTGGGCCACCGGTAGCTGTGGAGCTGACTTGTTGTTTGCTCTGCAGGCATTGGGGCTCTTTCACCTCAGCCTCAGTCTTCGACTTCTCCCAGGGTGTGCTTGTGCTGCCTGTGGCCTCCTCCTCAGGTGTCAGGCTCTTCTGGATACATTCTTTGGTCTTGTGGTGCCTCTGCCTTTTCTTCATTGCTAGCTGTTGCTGCTAAGCAGGCCCCAGTTCTGACGGTCCTGTTGCACGGCGTGTCCCAGCCCCAGCTTCAGCTGTCTTGTTGGCAGTAACTTCCTCGGAGCCCATCTTCAGTGTGAGGGTGTCTTTTGCCGTTGCCATTGCCTCAGTGTGTTTTCCGTTGCTCTCTTTCGGTGCTGGAGCCTCCTCTTTGACGTCTGGCACCGCTGCACAAGGCGCCCGAAGAGTACAGTATTTAATTGTCACTCATTTGCATAGTTTCTGTGACTTCTTTTGCTGTTGATTTCTAGTTTCATTGTGCTGTGATCTGATAGTATGCACAGTATAATTTCAGAGCTTTTGCATTTCCTTATGCATGCTCTATGGGCTAGCATGTGGTCTGTTTCCGAGAAAGTCTCACGTGCTGCTGAAAAGAACGTGTATTCTGTTGTGTGTTATATTCTGTAGATGTTAAGTCTATTGGATGGTGTGTTTCCACTCTGATTTTTTTTATTGAATTTTTTTGTCTAGTTGAACCATTTGTGACAGTGGCATATTATAGTCTCCTACTGTAGTTGTGTTGGTGTTTATGTGACCCTTTATGTCCAGTCGTGTTTGTTTAATGAACTTGGGTGCACCATTATTTGGTGCTTATATGTTAATAATTATTATTTGTTCCTGTTGAATTGGTCTATTAACCCATATGTATTGATCTTCTTTGCCACTTACTAGTTTTGGCTTGAAGTCCATTTTGTTTCAATACAGGATAACCATCCTTGCTTTTTTTCTATCCTTTGATTGTTTTAGTTTGTGAATTTCTTTTTGAGTTACGTATGTTTCTTGTCTACAGTACACTGTTGGTTTTTTCACTTGATCCTTTGGCCTGTCTTTGTGTTCTGATTTGGGGAATTGAGATCATTTACCTTTGATTTTTTTTTTTTTTTTTAATCTGTGAATTTCTTTTTGGATTAACTCTGTTTCCTGCATACAGAATACTGTTGGGTTTTGTCACTTGATCCTTTGCCCTATCTTTGTGTTTTGACTGGGGAGTTGAAGCCATTCATGTGAATCATTACTGAAATGTATTGACTTATTCTGGTCATTGTATAATTTTCCTGCTGCTG